GGGGGGGGGGGGAGGGGTAAAATGACCTACAGAATACAGATGTTACCGATTGAACAAGAAAATAATACCATTGAGGGTCACTGTCTTTGTCATAAATATAAAAATTAAGGAAACTATACTTGTATATTCCAATGTGGAGAACTTCCAGCGTTGTTCTGGACGCAGCATCCTTGCGACACAGCAGACCAATGCCGCGTCGACTTAAATTAACAGAGTGATCACAACGAAATGCGCGGAGATTCTTCATTTGTGCCACTGACCTAAAAAAGAAAGAAAGATAGATAGTGACAGAAAATTTTCTCCTATGCAAATTTTAAATTGACATTTACCCCAATCCAAAACAATTAACTTAATTTTTCTTTATCAAATGACGTTTTCCCGAAAGTCCATCACAGTAATAAAATTTTACAAGTTTTTTCACGTTTTTTCATATAGTTCTTGCATTACAAATTAAATGGAGTCTTTTGTTGTTGTTGGAAGTGATCTTTTAAGGAACTTTGTTCTGTTAACATAAAGATACTTTTGGGTGTAGCTTGTTCATTATCTTTTTAAATTAGGTCTTAATTGCTTTCCTCTTCAGGTACTTTTTAAAAACAAATATTAGAAAATAAAGACGTCAGCATAAATGAAAAAAAAGATATCTACCCAAGAACGATGTTACTGGCCGTGAGTAAATACAGGTTTTCTAGGTTAGAGGCAGATTGCTGCAGCTCAGATACTATCTCCTCTAACTAAAACAAATTAACTATTTTTCACTTCTTACAAAATCACATTTCCAAAATGTACATATTTAAAGCAATCTCTTTTTGGATGTCTGCTTGGATGTTCGATCATAACTCGCCAACCCCTGGGCCAATTTGCCTCAAATATTGATTGGGGAACTCTGCACCCACGGAAATATTATTAGTTCAATTTAAAAATTTTAATTTGAGTTACCTATGACTTAAATAGGAAAAGTTTTAGTTTCCAGGCAAAGCTGGGTTCCCAAGCTAGTAAAAATTAATGTCACAAATATCTACAAAGTGCAATGTTAATTTTCCACTGCATCATTGCTCGTTAAAATACTTTTCAGGTAAATATCAACTTTGAACAAAAATTAAGTTAAGTGAAGCAGTACTTAGGATCCATTTAATTTTGATGCGGATCCGGATCAGGATCCTGGATTAGTACTGAAAAAAAAGATCCGGATCCAAATCCGGATCCAGGTCATTTCTTTAAGATTTACTGAATTTTATTAAAAAAATAATTTTCAAATTTTTTGTGTTATTTTTTTCGCTTATTTTTATAGCTTGATGAACCATTCAGATATGAAGAAATTTTTATAATCTCTTTTTTTCAAAAATTCAGATTTTGGTTTTAGGAGTAAAAAAGTTTTTTTTTAAGTTTTGGTTGATATTTTACCCCTTGGACCCGGATCCGAATCCAGAAAGCCAAAATCTTCCGGATCCGGATTCTAGCACTGAAGGAAAGTAAATAATTGACTTCGTGCTTTGTTTATGCTGTGCTTGAAATACCTGTGTGATATAATAATCAGATCTATGAGTCATCCCACGGATAACAAAGCTTCGCAACAGAGGGAAGTTTCGTCGGGGAAGCTTGGTCAGCATTGCCATAATACTTAATACAGATTAATTAATTTCGCCAACATTGCCGTAATGCTAAATACAGATTAATTAATTTCGTCAACATTGCCGAAATGCTAAAAAAAGATTCATTAGCTATCTTCAACATTGCCATATTGCCAAATATATATTAATTAGTTTTGTCAACATTGCCATATTGCTAAATATAAATTAATTAAATTCGTCAACATTGCCATAATGCTAAATATAAATTAATTAAATTCGTCAACATTGCCATAATGCTAAATAAAGATTAATTAGTTTTGTCAACATTGCCGAAATGCTAAATATAGATTCATTAGCTTTCTTCAACATTGCCATATTGCCAAATATATATTAATTAGTTTTGCCAACATTGCCATATTGCTAAATTTATATTAATTAGTTTTCTTTAACATTGCCATATTGCTAAACACAGATTGAATTTCTTCAACATTGCCATAATGCCAAATATATATTAATTAGTTTTCTTCAACATTACCATATTGCTAAATATATATTAATTTGTTTTCTTCAACATTGCCATATTGCTAAACACAGATTAAATGATTTCTTCGCCATTGCCATAAAGTTAAAAACAGATTAATAAATTTTGTCAACATTGCCATAATGCCAAATAAAGATTAATTAGTTTCGTCAACATTGCCATAATGCTGAATATAGATTCAATAAGCTTTTTTCAACATTGCCATTTTGCCAAATATAAATTAATTAGTTTTGTTAACATTGCCATATTGCTAAATATATATTAATTAGTTTTCTTTAACATTGCCATAATACTTAATACAGATTAATTAATTTCTTCATCATTGCCATAATGCTAAATACAGATTAATTAATTTCGTCAACATTGCCATAATGCTAAATACAGATTAATAAGTTTCGTTAACATTGCCATAATGCTAAATACAGATTAATTAGTTTCGTTAACATTGCCATGATGCTAAATACAGATTAATAAGTGCAGATTCTTTTAAGAGTTTTTGCGAAAAATGGAGAGTGTATAAGCTGATCCCGAATAAATGGACAAAGGAACCAATGAAAAAAAGAACAAATGACTACCTCCTTAAAACACAAAGGTGTAGATTAGGATCAACCTTGTTCAGGTTTATGTTTAGATGAGATATATCTTCGCTAAAAAACAGCTCAATCACCATGGGTAATCTGAAATTCATATATTAACAAAAAAACACACATCAACAATCAATTAATCAATCCGTCTAAACAATAGACAACTAATCGAACAATCAATCCGTCTAACAATAGTCAATAAATCGAACAATCAATCAATTCTTCTGACAATAGTCAACTAATAAAACAAACAATATAATCAATTTGTTTAACAATAGTCAACCGATCGAACAATCAATCAATCCGTTTAACAATAGTCAACCAATCAAACAACTCGTCTAACATTAGTCAACTAATCTAAATATCTATCAATTAATCAATTTTTCAATTGAAAAAATCCTTCAGGAAATCCAGATAAATAGATCACTTGAAACTCTTCAACTTACTTTGTATACGTTAATCTGCACTCCCAATGCATCTTGCACTCAACTAGAAGCGGGGCAACTATAAAGAATACAAAGTAATTTTAGTTCTATAATTGCAAAATTATATAGTAACCATGTAAGAATTCTGTCCATCAAGTCTGTCAGTATATGAGAGGGTAAACGCTAGAAAAAATTATCAATTTTATTACATTATAAAATCATTAATAAAAATATTTATTTGTTACAATCAATTTTTATCTACAATTGTTATTTGTTGCCAACATATAAAAAGCCGCCATTAAAAAAAAACCCTTTATATTGATTAACGGATTTAATAAAATAATTAAGACAGCTGAAGTTCTTAATTTATTTCCATATCTTTTTTGACACACTCAGTTTATGCTTTTTAGAATATCAGTTCAAAAAATTTGAATCTTTTTTCTAAAACCGAAAATTTATCAAAAAGAAAAAAGTTTAACTATAACACTTATAAATATGTATTTGTAACAATATGTTTTTATTTGCTTCTGTTTATAACTTCACAAAAAATGGTTTGGAGACTTTTTAATTTTCTCTCTCTACTGTGCAGTTTTTTTAGTTTACTTTTCGGAGCTATTAGTTCATAGTTAATTTCAATTTAATGTGGGATGGAAAGCGCTAAAATAAAAAATCGTAAGTTTTGAAAAATTCAAGAAACTTTAATACAAACGATAATGTTTTAAATGTTTTTCTTCCATCAGAGAATTGTATTTAACAATTATTTGTAAGTTACAAATTTAACATACTCAGCAAGCGAGTTTATAAAATGAATAATGATCAAAATACAAAATAGTGTACGAACCTGTCTAAAATATTTTCTAAATTCTTTAACCTCCCTTGTGGTTAAATCGTTGTTATTCTGACACATCTAAACAAAAAATAGTATTTTTAAATTTATCCTATTTTTTCAAGACAAGCATTATATAAAATCCGAGCCGTACCCCAACCCTACAATATGAATGTATTTATTCAAAAGAGAAGGTGCTCATAGCGGTAATTATGGAAGTTTTTTTTTTGCGAATTCAATTTGGTTTACATCAGAAATAGACCAACATATTAGACCAATTTTCAAAATCTTTGTCAACCATGATAAAAATATTTGCCTCACCGGTTTTAAAGAAGTTGGGTCTACTCGATAGGGTTAAAAAAACCAACCCCACCTGACTAGTATGATGAAGAATAGTCTGAATACAGTTCTCGTATAAACTTGGCGCATTTTTCCGTAAACCAGCTGGGAACGAGAACCCTGCACCCATAAATAAAATATAATCCAAATTAACTTTATAACTAAATTGCATGTTTATTTTATCATAACTTATCCTCATCAAACATGGAAGGGATTTATCAGAAGCTAGAATATAGCTCACTGAGACAATATGAAATTACTATGAGAATTTACAAAAAAAAATATTAAGACTAAAACTAATTTCCGTGTAAGTAGATGTTAGATTTTAGAGGAAAAATATATCTCGGAAAACATTATATAAAAGCATCAATAACTTATTATGAGAAATCATACGCCCAACTTAAAAGGCCTTACATTCATTCAACATAAATTCGTCTGGGTGTGGTGGAATTTCGGCGTCCATCTCTGCAGCTAGGACAGCAAGCTCGTTTCAGCAATGTTCAGTGGAAGCACGGGTCAAAATAGAGTTCAATTCACCATTTTGCTTTGTAGACTCTGAAAAATTATATTTAAACGATTCAAGTTATTTACTAGCATAAATTATTTCTTGAACCACGTTTTCCTGGTTAATCGTTTAAAGTACAGGCCACTTATTTACATCCCTGGCCGCTCGTTTATACAATTATTTGTTCTTTTTATACTTACAACTTGCTCATTTACTAATTTTTACATTTACACAATGTTTTCATACTTTTTCTCTTATTTCTTTCTCATGTTTCCATCCTAAGATGAATATATATATCTTTGGGGTCCGTCATAGTATTCGAATTTGGACTCCCATCCCCCGGTATATTCCTAGAGAACAATTTTGGGACCCCCCCCCTCTTATCAATTTTGTACATGGATCTTACAGAAAGTGTCTCAACTTAACCTAACCCGTGGCCGCAACGCTCGGCCCCCTAGCCCATCCTAGCCGCAGCACTCGGCCCAGAAAGTGTCTTAACATAACCTAACCCTAAATAATAATGAATAAATACTAATTTTAATTTCGTCATGTACAAAATTGATAGGAGGGTCCAAAAATCGTTCACTAGGACAGACCCCATCCCCCCCCTATTAATTTTATACATGACCACTTATTTTTCAGCAAAAATGTTATTTATATTTTTGCTATTTTAGGTTAAGACGATTTCTGGGCCGAGCGCTGCGGCTAGGACAGGCTATGTGGCCGAGCGCCGCGGCTAGGACAGGCTAGGGGGCCAGGCGCTGCGGCCACGTGGTCAATTTTATCCTTGTCTTACATATAAGATTCATGTACAAAATTGATAGGAGGGTCCAAAAATCGTAGATTAGGAAATTACCTATCTTTGGACCTTTGTTTCCTTGCCTTTGTGTTTAGTATTCTCTGTATGGACACTTGAATTTAGAGAATAAATGCTGAACCCCGCGTCACGACCCACCACAGCTCTTCATCCTGATCCATATAGCTCTATTGAACTATGAAAATAAAAACCCGACTTTTTATCCGTCGATCCAGAGACTGCGATTTAAAATTAGACAATTACAGTGCCATGGAAACTATTCAAAATAAGGCTAGAGCCTAAAATATATTATTCGACTAATTTTTCTTTGAATCGTGTCAAACTATTAAATCAATAAAATTCCTTCAATGACTCAAAGAGCCGAAAGTTACCCCGCACGTCTTCCGCGGTTACAGAAAATAGTTTTCAGCTATTCCGTGCCTAAAATTGTATTATGCAATAAAATTGAATTATATCCGTTGATCGCAAGTCCACACAATCCACACACACTCCACATGGTGATTGGTGAACATCGTTGCGCAATATTTCAAGAAAAATAATTTGTAATTGGTTTAATAAAATGCGAATATCTAGAAAATTGCCGCGTACGTTGACCTAACAGTAGCAAGACGACTTGAAAGTCGTCTTAGAACTAGTAAGGTCTGGAGCAATAACTTAAAGGACTTTTAAAAAATTTTGTGTTGATGATGAACCGTCATTGATGGTCCAGCCCTCATCAGAGTAAATATAGGTGTGAATTCCACATTTTAAAAAATATGATGTTGGTCTGGGTTGACCCCCTTCAATTTTAACGATATATTGTACGGTGTCCCAAAAAACATGGGAATTCAGTGACGAATTCGATATCGTCTTTGTTATGAATTAGCATTGTAATACCTAATTTCAAAAGCCATAATATTATTATGTCTGCTAGAGTTTATTTAATGAAAAGGGTAAAAGACTGTAAAGATGTGTCTATAATGTCTCCGCAAGATGAACAGTGAAGACGGACAAGTTTACTCTGTAATTGTATACTGTAATTTTCTTGTTTTACTATGTACAACCGGTTGCAGTCAAAACATAAACAAATAAAATGTAAACATATAGCAGACGAAACTCTTACAGATTACAGCTTTCTCAGTAGGTATCACTATACTAAATCAAAGAATTAATTGAAAAGACGATATCGAATTCGTCACTGAATTCCCATGTTTTTTGGGACACCCTTGTATAACATCAACACAAAAAATAAAAAAAGAATTTTTTTAAAATTACAAGAAATTAAGCATAAAAAAATTTAAAAGTGTTTTCAGATAACCAGAAAGGCATTCAAATCATGTTACAGGGTGTCCCACAAAACATAACAGTTACAACTAGCAAGGCGGGTGGATTCTCATGAACTACTCCCGTTTGAACTATTGTTCGTTTAGGTTTAGGTTAGGTTAAGCTCATTTCTGGGCCGAGCGCTGCGGCTAGGACAGGCTAGGGGGCCGAGCGCTGCGGCTAGTACAGGCTAGGGGGCCGAGCGCTGCGGCCACATGATCAATACTAATATGCTGTAAAATAAAAAAATAATGCATGGTCATACAAAATTGATAGGTTCTATTTTTATGTCTATTTTGAGCTATTTTTATGTTCATTTCAACTATTTTATGTCCATTTGAACTATTTTTATGTTCATTTGAACTATTTTTATGTTCATTTGAATTATTTTTTGTTCATTTGAACTATTTTTATGTCCATTTGAACTATATTTTATGCCCGTTTGAACTATTTTAGTGTTCATTTAAACTATTTTCTTATGTACAAGGTGTCCAAAAAACATGGGAATTCAGTGACGAATTGGATATCGTCTTTGTACTGAATTAGCATTGTAATACTATAATTTCAAAAGCCATAATATTATTATGTCTGCTAGAGTTTAAGTTATGAAAACGGTAAATGGCTGTAAAGATGTGTTTATAATGTCTCTGCAAGATGAACAGTGAAGACGGACAAGTTTACTCTGTACGCTTTAAATTTTCATCTAATTAACAATTAGAAAGTTAAAAAAGGGTTTAATTCTAAAATTTCCTTAATCGCATCTGCAGCAAGAGATACCACAATTATATAAAAATAGTGGGTCTGTCCTAGTATACGATTTTTGGCCCACCTCCTATCAATTTTGTACATGACCTAGATTTCAATTATTTTCGACAAAAAAAATATTTATTTTGTATTATTTCAGGGTTAGACTTGGTTAGGACAATTTATAGGCCGAGCGCTGCGGCTAGGACAGACCTTCAATTTCAACAATTTTCAACAAAATTAGTATATAGTTAGGGTTAGGTTAGGACACTTTCTAGTTCGAGCGTTGAGGCTAGGACAGGCTAGGGGACTGAGCGCCGCGGCTAGGACAGGCTAGGGGGACGAGCGCCGCGGCTAGGACAGGCTAGGGGGCCGGGCGCTGCGGCCACATGACCAATTATATCCATGTGTTACATACTAGATCAATGCACAAAATTGATAGGCGGGAGGGGGGCCGGAGGGGGGGGGGGAAATCGTATATTAGGAAAATACCAAAAAAGTTTTCAGGGTACCGTAGGGAATGGGACCTGCCAATCTTAAAATGTCTACGGTTACTTCAAATTAGGTCCACAGTCC